TCCCAGTTCGTTCACTGTCGCTGTTTGCCGTCGGTGTGACAGTTTTCCTAACCTTCAAACTTAGCAACTTTGTCAATTAATATCTGGCTTCACAGTAGAGAGAGCGACGATTTTTCCAAATAGAAAAGTTGTTTGCTTTCAAAAAACGCGTCGATTGAGTATTTTTTCGTTGAAATCGGAGATGTGGTACCTAAACTGAATAATTACCCATTTGTGTGTGCGTACTACATTAACATTAATGTTAAGTGGATCAATCTGTCTTCTTGTGACGCAACATGCAAATATTTTTGCCGGCCACGATTATTGAAACGCAGCTGACACATTGCACATAACTGACTGCAGCAGGCACCCCACATTAGCGCCCGCGTCTCACGGTGAGTTGCGTCGCTCCTGCTTACCTCCTATAACCGAGCCGTCATTCGCTACCTATTTCTTTTTATTATTCAAAATCTAAGCTTCGGAGAAACTTTTCGTAGAGGAAAAATCGTCTTAGAATTTTATCAAGAATATGTAATTTTAAGGACCAGTGGTTGTTCTGAATCACCCTGTATAGTACTATGCACCAGGATTGAGAAGTAACGTGTTACTTGTAACGCCGTTACCGTTACTGTTACTTTTTTTCGGTAACTGTAACGGTAACGGCGTTACAAATTTTTTTTGTAACGGAAAAAGTAACTTCGTTATATTTTTCGGTAACGAGTAACGAATTTAACAGTTACTTTTATCGTTACATTTTTCGAATTTCCTCGGTATAATTTTATTTTATTGGGTGGGAATTGTGAGACCTGTTTATTGTATCTGCATTCCGAAATTCACTGCCAGAAAATGTATAATGTACGTGGCATGAACTATATGTTGGTAATGAATTTCATAACGTAGACATACAAGTCCGTTCGGCTTCCTTCTATTGGCCAAAGGACCTCGCGTGACATGGCAGTGTGACAGAGACAATACCTTACTGCGTATCGTTCTGTCCTTTAGAAGACGAACACTTTCACAGAACGCTGGGTAATAAGTGAACAATGAACTGACTAAACAGTGAGCAAGCAATGCATACAGTTATCGCGAATAAGTTAATCGAATTTGATCGGATTTATTCATATAGATATGTTATATTTATATAAGTATGCAAGTCATACTTGATACCCTATGATCAGAAAGTACCGGGAATTTTTTATTTAAACGTACCGCGCATGCGGGAACCGGTTTATTTTTTTTTCTTATGTTGGTACGACCTTAAGACGCACATCTGTCAGGTTTTAGTGCCATCCAATCATTAGTGTCTGCCTGGCGTTTGTTTACATCAGTCAACTTTTTTCAATTTGTCGCATTTTACCATGGATAATGTTGTTGAACAAAGAGTTTGTTTGAAATTTTGTGTTGCGAACGAAATTTCGTGTGCCGATGCACTGAAAATGTTGCAAAAAGCATTTTGCGAATCTGCTCTATCAAAAACAAGAGCATACGAGTGGTATAAAGACTTTAAAAGTGGTCGTATAGTGGTGGAAGATTTGCCTCGTTCCGGACGTCCATCGACGTCGAACACCGATGAAAACGTGAAGAAAGTGAAAGAAATGGTGCTTGAAAATCGTCATACCAGCTTAAGAGAGATGTCTAGTGAACTTGGCATTGCATATGGAACGGCACAGCATATTGTGGTTGATGTTTTGGGTATGAGACGCGTGGCAGCCAGGCTCGTTCCGAAGGACCTGAATTTCGTGCAAAAACACCACCGAAAGACAGTTGCTGAAGAGATGATTTCTGAAGCCCAAAGTGATCCAACCTTCATGAAACGGATAATTACGGGCGACGAGACATGGGTCTATGAATTTGACATGGAAACAAAGCAACAATCGTCCGAGTGGCGCTTCGAAGACGAGCCGAAACCGAAAAAACCGCGTCAAAGCCGCTCAAAAGTGAAGGTGATGTTGACTGTTTTCTTCGATTGCCAAGGCGTAGTGCACTATGAGTACCTTCCACCGGGCCAGACAGTCAACAAAGAATATTATTTATCCGTTTTGAAGCGTTTGAGAGATGCTGTACGTCGCAAACGGCCGGAAATGTGGGCCGACAATTCTTGGATTTTGCATGATGATAACGCGCCATCGCACCGAGCCCGAATTGTACTGAATTATTTGACCAAACATCAAGTAAATACCATCGAGCAAGCACCGTATTCACCTGATATGGCCCCGTGCGACTTTTTTTTGTTCCCCAAGTTGAAGTTGCCACTTCGTGGAAAGAGATTTCAGTCGATCGAGGAGATCAAAGAGAATGCGACGAGGGAACTAAAGGCCATCCCTTCGTCGGCCTACCAGGGATGCATGGAGGACTGGGTCAAGCGTTGGCACATGTGTGTTGCTTCAGATGGATCATATTTTGAAGGAGATAAAATAAATTTGCCTGAAATTTAACTCTATTTTGTTTTATTTAAAAATTCCCGGTACTTTCTGATCATAGGGTACTTCTATATTTCTCTTTCATTTTGATTTCTTACTTCTTGTTATTTAGGTTAGTCGCAAAACCACGTGCCACGTACAAGCATGTGCTTACGTAATCTGTTTGATTCGCCAGCATTATAAAAAAATTAGTGGAAAATAATGGAAGAAGCGAATACATCTTAATCTTTAAAAGAAAACGTGGTATGTAAAAAACCATGGCCGGCATATTCCAAAGTTTTCGAATTTCGAGCGAATCTCAGTAACGAAAAAAATTTCGCCTTTGCGTGTAAATTTTACATTGGTGGAAAAATTATTCATGCAAATAAAAGCTTTACGGCAAATTTAAAGAAACATTTAAATGTAAGGATTATTTATTTATTTAATAAAAAGTTTCATGGAAAAATGTACATATGTCTTCTTAGAAGTTAAAATGTTTTATCTTCACATGTAAAAGATTAATATTATTATATTATTGAATCTACAGTACTCTCATTTCCATTTTGTTTAAATTTTAAGAATTTGTGTATTTTGATGCTTAGAGTATATGTTCTGAAAACGAAATATTGTATCGTTTTTCCTCAATTCAAAGTTTTTTTCCTTGATCTTGAAAAATCGCTTTCTCTGAAAATTGATTTTATCATTAGTCTCCCTTTAATCTAAAACATTTATCTATAAAATTGAAAATAAAAAAAATTTTGGGGAAGTAATCATTTAAAATGTGATACTCTGTATATAACAAAATTAAATACATTATATAGTAAAAAATAAATAATAAGAACATTTTAAAAACATGTAAAAAATAAATAATAAAAATATTTTTTTGTATAATTTCCTTATAATAAATTTCTAGACTTGCAAAGAATCCACACAATACCACAAAACATTATATTTTGAATCAAACATGCAACTTAAAACAGTAGATATAGAAAAGAAAAAAGTATAACATTTTACATGAATTGTGGTTTGTAGTTTGGTCAAACATTTGTTTTAATTACATTTCTGCTTTTGTTAAAATAATTTGTAATTGTCTGAATTATAAAAACACATATTTCTTTCTTAAAATTTTCTTCTTTTAATAATTATAAATGTGAACGGAACAGTAAAATTTTTGCAATGTTTAATTTTATCTTTTAGAATTCTTATAATTAATTTTCTTCTCATATACATTTCTTATTTTCTTCTGTTTTTAAAAGTTTTCTTTTATCAATTAAAACATATCTAATGAGTAAAAAGAAGCGCAAAAGACAAACGCTGGTAGTTTGTGTGATATAACGTATATTAACTTATAATAATAAAAACAAACGTTTCGACTGGTACATCAGTGCCTTTCTCAGTGTCTATATAAACTAAACTAAAACATATAAAGTCGCATCAAATGCAAACTGATAAAGCGGAAATTATAATTTAAATAAAATCGTAGTGTTTGGCTTTTTCACTTCTGTTTAATCATTTGATTTTTATCATTAGAGCTTTTATCGTTTATTTTTATATTTATTAATTTTTAAAACATCTATTATATATATTTTTCAGAAAAATTCATGCTATTATCACACTATTTTCCTATACTTTTGTTAGAATAAAATTTATTGTATATGCCCTTACGAAAAAATACTATTAGTGGTAATAGTGTCACTAATAGTATCACTAGTAGTGCTAGTAGTGTCACTATTAGTGCTAATAGTGTTACTAATAGTATTACTAGTAGTTCTAGTAGTGTCACTAGTAGTGCTAATAGTGTCACTGTTAGTTACACTATTAGTGCTATTAGTGACACTATTAATGTTAATAGTAGCACTGTTAGTGACACTAATAGTACTAATTGTGACACTATTAGTAATGATAGTGACACTACTAGTGTTAGCAGTGATACTATTAGTGACACCAGTAATGTCAGAAGTGACACTACAAATGCCAATAGTGGTAATATCAGTATTATGGCTGCGTTCCATTTTACGCATAATGTGCACATTTTGTACAATATACGTGATATAAAGTTTAGATAAATGCGCGCATATGCGTAAAACGGAACGTGGCCTATAACCCAGATAGCACAATGTCCAAAACCGGGACATAAGACGACTTTAAGACGTCTTTAAGGGTCATATTCATAGTCGGGTCTTATATCTTAAGTTTATCTTCAGATACTCCATAGCCAATGAAATAATCCGTACATCTGAAGATGAACTTAAGACGGTCTTAAATATAAGATCTGACTATAAATACGGGCTTTAGTTGTCTTTAAGATGTCTGCACGAAAGACGTCTATTATGGTCATTCTACAATAAGCTTTTAGTCATAAGTCCTAATAAAATTAACCAATTATAGTCGACTATTAGAAGAATAATCCACTGTAACTGATCAATTTTATTACGACTTAAAACTTATTGCTTATTGTAGAATGGCCATTAGACATCCTTAAGACATCTTTAAGACGTCTTATGTCCCGATTTTAGATTTTGTGCTGTCTGGGAAGTGGCACTTGATGCGCTGATATGTACAAACATGTATACCTTATAGTTATTATAGAAAAACTATGAAAGATAATTAATTATTACTATCGAGAATACATTTTTCAGATTATTACATATAATTTTTGCTGTACAAACATTTATTTTCTATGACAATTACACTTATAATGTGGCACAATTACATAAGTGTATGCTTCATTAAACTTAATTCTTTATTAGTCTATCTCGATGTTGTTGACAAGGCGCGTAATAATGAAGTCATCATGTCCTACATAAGACTGCATTCTGATACATTTTCTACGCAATGAAGTAGGACAGATCGCGATAATTGTATTAGTTATGGAACATACAAAAATTTGGTTTCTCGATGATATAGTAGAATCTGAAGTAATGCACAATTCTGTGTTAGTCCTGTCTAAAAGTCTTCCAATGACGACATATTTCAATTGTGCATTGGATTATGTACGAACATCTAACATCGCATGTATGATGATAAAAGAACCATTATGCAATTCAGCCGTACAATTATCACGCTTTTTCAATGTTTTACATATATCCGTATGCCACAAAATTTTATTTATGATAAATCGTTTAAAGCTATCAGCAGAATCTAAAATATGTTCGCCTAAAAAAGCTTCTACTATTGTTTTTTCAAACAAAGATAGTTTAATCATTTTTGGTGTTCCGAATAATCGTAAAAGTTTCCGTATGTGATACATTGTTGAGGTCGATACACTGGGAGCAGTGCACTTGGACACGGTGCATTTGGACACAGCCAATCACAGCACCGTATATTAGAGACATTTGTAGGGTCCCTTGGAACAGCGACATGTGATTGGACTGTGTCCAATTGCCCCGTGTCCAACTGATATACACCCCGATACACTCCACTTATTTTGTTGTACAGTGTTCTTGCATCTTCGGAACAGTCTATGCGTGAAAAAACAATTGCAGATAATTGTTCAGCATTTTTAAATCTAATATAAGATTTACATATTTGTTCTGGTACAGCTTGAGAATTTTTGAACATTTTACTTAAAACTCCATTGTAATGTTCAAACGGAAACGTGGATGTTGCCCAAAGAGCACCAAATTTTTTAACGGATGAAGGTATGTGAAGCATTAAATGTACATTAAATTTATAGAATTGTATACCGTATAACTGTTCAATTTGAAATACAAAACGTTGTATAGCAATTTCAGCTGAAGAAAAATCTGTGTTTGTTATTTTTTCTTGCAACAATATATACATACTGAACACTAGATAAAACCAATGCTTAAGATATGCTGCATTACATTTTGCATACATATCATGAAATAGTAGAGAAGAAAATGTTTCCATTCAGAACCTTTCCACATTTTTCTTTCATTAATTGACCGTGGAGTTCGCGTTATTTCACATGGCGGCTTTATCTTTAATAGTTTTCTATCAAAGATAGTCGTCTTGGTGCCAAGATACCATGGTCATTATAAGCAGAATCAAACCATGCCTCAGTGAATGTCTTCACGACTCCCAATAAAATACTATGAAGATAATCCGGCGTGAACGAAGTGACAATATTGAATACTGGTAACAGCATAAGAATAGAAGGTCCTTTGATACCTCTCACAATCTTGCCACCCTGCATACATATTTTACAATCTTGTTCATGTTGACGTAGTGTTCTACTACTGCCTACATCTCCCGAATAAACTCTTGTTGATCCTCTTCCCACTGTGACCTGCTGACCTTCATGCAAGCAAAATGAACAACCATATCGTCCATTATATTGTACAATTTCTTGAAGAATTGGCCTTGCAACAGAATCTACAGGGCTTACAATTGTATGAATTTTTATACACATTTTTTGTCCGTTTACATTCCGTATGATTCCTTTCTCATGTAAAGAAGTCAATTCTTCAACAAAAGAATTTAAATATAAATGCATATTAGGTTTATCGCGACCATACCATAGACCACAAAGTATCATATTTTCTCTTCGAATTCTATATGACAATTCATTTATACACACTTGGATTGGCCACAGAGAAAATGGCGAAGAACGGCACAGTTTAACGCCATCCGTATTAAATTGCAAAGTAATATCGTTTTCAGAAATCATACCATTTTCTACCATTGATCTATAAAAAGTCCCGGAAGATACATCAGAAATTGACTCATTCCTCTTAACTAACAAATCATAGACATGACTGTTTACAATCTTATGTAATTGACTTTGTAACGGAAGACGTATGAAGTAGTACATGTTATTTGTCAAAAATGACTTCATATATTTTGTACTGCATTGCAAACATGTAACATTTGTATTCTCTTTAAGATGGTTCAGATTTAAGATTCTTTCGCAATTCGGACAATAATAATGTTTGCATACAGAAACGAAATTTTCATACTCATTGAAAAACATGTACTTACTTCTGAATACAGAATTAGGTAGTAACAAATCTATCAACTCAATAAGATGTTCTAATGCTACGTCACTTAAATGATGACGAATGGTGAAATGCAAGAGTAATAAATATCCTTCTTCTTTTGATATACGAGAACCTTCATAAAGTGAGTCTCGAGTCTGAAAAACGAAATCATTGTATTCATTAAGGGGACTTCATTTAAATGCAAACAAT